GTTTGTGCTGGCATCAGAAAAGCAGGCTAGCTTGGCTTGTACCAACAGGATTGTCTCCTTATCTCTGTACAGAAGATGCTTGTTTGGGGAGGTGGGGGCTGAGATTGAATTCCCCTATCGCCCCTATTCAAACCGAATGCACCGAGGTCCATTAATAAGCACCCTTTCCTTTCTCCTTTAAAGTGCAGGCACTTTGTCACCTATGCCTATGCCGTCTCCGGTAGCCTTTAAAACAGCCTCAGTGGTAATTTACTCCCAAGACTGGAGAGGTGTCTGGAACCGCAGCCAAATCCGCACCAGCAAGCCTCATCTTCTGAAGCAGTAGCTTAATGTCTCCCTGCAGCGAGATTTCACTGTAGCCTCGCTCCATCCCGGTGACGTAGCAACCTTATCACGGCAGTGTGGAGGTCTGGCACCGCTGCCGTTCCCTGCTATAAGCTAATTACTATGCGGCAAGATGATCAGTTTTTCCCCAGACCAGGCTTCTATTTGTGTTCTGTCAAGTAGAAAATTAACATGGACACAGGCCAGGGATGTTTCACGCCTGAGTGCGCTGAGGCTGAAGGTGGTGATGGGAAGGCAGGATGGATTTCTGAATGGTAGGCGTGGAGGATCAGGTGATGTCAAGCGTCTCCAGCCTGCTTCATTAGCCGGATCATCAGAAAAGTCGAGTAGCTGGGGAACAGCTGGAGAAAAATCGCCCATAGAGAAAAATCGCAGTCCTCATTAACCACCCATCTCTGTGCACTTTGTTCAGAGCTAACCTGAACTGTATTTCTGCAGAGCAGGTAAGGGGTGTCATCTGCAAAATTTGGAAACAAGAGGCTAGCTAGTATTAACTTATATTAACTGTATTTATTCATTATTTGCCACACTGGAGCCTTTTCAGAGCCTCCTTGCACTGCAGAGATGCAAACGTAATGGATGTTCGAGTGACGCTCTCCACTTGCATTGCTGCTGGGTCCAGATGAACACACGAACTCGTAGGAGCCCTGTTGGCAACTTGTGAGAGGGACAATAAAGCAAACACATGCAAAAACGAAAAGAGATCATAAAGGGTTTTTCCCTGCCTGGTCATTCTCACTTCTTTTTAATCAGTAACATTATTTTTTTTCGAGTGCTTTGATGGTTTTTATTAAAAATACATGTGGTAATAACCTTCAGGTGGAGCCGCCTAAACTGCTGAGTGTGCCTCTTGCTTACAGGAATGCATCGCAGGGATTCCTGCTAGGCATTTGGGATCCTCCTGCTCTTTTCTCCTGCTACTTTTACTCACCAGAAGTCATTAACATCTGATGTAGCAATCTGCACCGTTAAACTGTAGATCTTCAGGAATCTTTTAAGTTGCTCTTCGGTGCAGAGACACCATATGTATAACGGTAATGATCTCTTCCTTGTTCTGATGAGTAAGAGGGGAAGTTCAGAAGAAGAGGCTGGTTTCTGACCCCTACCTACACTGGACAGGTACTGAAACAAATTCCTGAAGCAGTGTGCTATGTTTTTACGATCAGGGTGGTGAAACATTGGCACAGGCTGCCCAGCGAGGTGGGCAATGCCCCATCCCTGGAAGTGTTCAAGGCCAGGTTGGATGGGGCTCTGAGCAACCTGGTCTGGTTGTAGATGTCCCTGCTCATGGCAGGGGGGTTGGACTTGGATGGTCTTTAAAGGTCCCTTCCCACCCAAACCATTCTGTGATTCTCTGATGAAGTCAATGCTTGGGGACGCTGCTGATTTAATGGCTGGTAGGCTCACTCTCAAGATTGCTAAGTGTTTCTTCATTGGTGTTTAAAATCTCATAGCCCATAGGAAAGAAAATCGATCGTGAATGCTTCACATGCTTGGTGAGTCATCCTAAATCCCCAGTCTCTCAGTAATACCTTACCGGCTGGGTTGGATATTTCAGCAACCATCTCTGGAAGAAGCCTCAAGACATTATGTAGCCTGTAGAGCTAAAATCTCACAAACTCTTAACTTGACAAATTTGGGGCTGAGTAGCAGACACATTTCACTGTCCCTGTCTCTCTCAATGCCTGGTGGCCACACCAATGGCAGCACTTTGTTAAAGTGTAAGAGAAGTTACGGTATTAGCTCTTAAATATTTAGTTTTGCTTGGTTTAGAGTCAGAAGATCTGTCAGCTCTGGCTTTGTCTATCCCAGTTAAAGGCAGTGTTGGCATGGTGGCTTTCACTCTCCTGACAGTGGATGCTTTCAGTGCAGCTGGGTTTGGGCAGGCCTGTGTAGTCATTAATGAGATATTGCTTCTATAATAAAGAGATCAATGAGATGTAATCTCACCATCTGGAAGCTCTAGGATGGGTCTTACCTGCAGACTTGCCATTTAAAAATGAGTTCTAGCCAGGGCATCTCCTGTGTCCTAAGAGGCCCCCCAAAAGTTGAACGCTGTAAAATCAGTTCTTTAATTTTATCAATCATTCTGTTGTTTTTATTTAAAAAAAAAAAAAAGTTATTGGTGACAGGCTTAGTTTTGAGATTCGGCCTTAAGAACAAATCAAAAAATCCCCGAGCGATCCATTTGTTAATACGATAAAGCTTTTGCTCTGGTTTTCCTTGTTAGCTCTGCACCTTCACGAACACACAAATTCTGCAATGTGACAGGATAGGAAGAAATGTGGTGTATCTGCTTTGTTTCAATAAAACTTCATAAGCAGTTCACTAAATTACTCTGTCAAGGTACAGTAATCCTTACAACCAAAATACCTTTCCAGAGCAGGGCTGGTTCATCCGTACCCCGCAAAGCCCTCTGGCAGGCCAGGCTCCCAGCCCGTAGCGTCACTCCAGAAACTTGCCCCGTTAAATTGTATTTGGTGCTTTTGGTGTTTGGCAAACCTACCCTGGCAAATTAGGAGAACTGGCCTGCGAAGGTGGTGTCCCCAGACATCCCTTGAGATCGCCGGTGAGTCCGTGTCACTGCCCTGGTGCGCAAGGATCCGTCGCAGCTTGTGTTAACCTTTAAGGCGATTGCTGAGGCTCTTTCTGCAACTGGGGACAGGGGGAGGACCGGCCGAACTGGGAGCGCGTATGGGGACCTCGTTTGCTAGATTAGAGGCATCTACTTGAAAGGACTGGAGGTAAATAAGGGGATGCTGCCTTTCACGTGGGAGATGCAAAAGAGGAATTAAAAGAGTTTTTTGAATTGGCCTGGTCCCAGACCATGCCGAGCCATTCTAGATTTAAATTGAGTTAAATTAAATTAATCTGTAGTGTATAAAGAGTAAGGGGAGAGTAAAGGTCTCCTCTGCTGTTTACGTAGTGTGGTTTCTTGCTTCATTTTTATTTATCAAGCCCAAGAGCAGACCCTGAGTTGAAGGAAGGATCAGCTCTATCAGAAAGGGACTGCATCTCCTTGTGTTTGCATCAAATTTAGAGTGGATTTAAATGGAGCAGGGATTGGATTTGCGTGGGAGGCTGCGGGGGGAGTGCTACAGATATTCAGGGCTTTCTGCTTGTGGGTCACGGCTTCAAAAATAATCCAATCTCAAATCTGAAAGGCCATCAGTGTTTTGCAGTAGTGAAGTGAGTTGTTGAGCTGATGAAGGGAGACCTGGGCCTCAAAACTCTTTTTTTATCGCAGACTTGCTTTGTGATTTCAGACAAATTACCCAGCTGCCTGGGATCTTGGCTTTTCTTCTGGGACGTGGCGATGACAGTACCTCCCTGGCAGACAGAGGGGTTGTGAAAATAGTAATTTAAAATCTGTGGGAAGCAATCCGGGCAGGAAGGAAGCACAACTTGCATTTGACAGAAAAAAACAGAGGCTTTCAGGTGCGGATTTCTCTTCCAGGTCCAACAAATAGCAAGGCACAGACTCAACACAGGTTAGGCACAGTTGCTGTTAGCGGGTTTGATTCTGCTAATCATTCAGCCCTTAACAGAGAAAGGATTATGAGATGCTTCACACACAGTGATATTAACAATCATGTAAGTACATAAAGATAAGTCTAAATCAGAGGTCTGTGATGCTAATTAAATAACTCTTTGTGCTTGCTGCAGCAGGAGGAGGTCATGAAATACTGAACTCCCCCATCCCTGGGTTTAGTCCCTCCCGAGACTGTTGAAATACAGGGGGAGAGCCGCTCTGTGGGGAGAACGCTTCAGACTCCAGCACTGTGATATGCTTATGGGTGAAAAAAAAATAAATCAAAAAGTTTCCAGTGCTCTAGTTTTAAAGCAGATTTCTTGAAAGAAAAATATTTTCAATTATCTTTAAAAAAAAAATAATAATCGTATTCCTATTTTCCATTCACATTGCCTGAATTATGTTTTTTGGCAACTGCCAGAGTTTTACTAGTTCTCAGTAATTGTCAACAAAATCTGTTGTGTTAAAAGAAAAGTGAACATATCTGTGTTTTCTCTGTGAGTCTGAAAATTGAGAGAATCCTATTTGTAAGATACTGGGTAATGTTTCTAAAAGCCCCTACTTCTAATTTTTAGAGGATTTTTATCACCCAGTATCTTTAGGAACTTTCAGGAAATGAGTTGCCAATTATCTAATCTTTTAAAAAAATAAAAATTTTTGCTGCAGGGATAGATGTAGGAATTGTTCCTTCGTTTTGTAAATTAATAACTTTTTTCTGATTGCTCTTGACGTGCCTAGGTTTTCTCAGCGGCGTTAAGAATGTTGGGTTTTTTCTGTTTCCTTGGTGCTGATAAGGTGTTTTGGTTATCTCAAATCCTTTGCCTTTTCTCCATTGTTACCGTTCTCTGCAGTTGGTTGGTAGTGATTCACATGAAACAGCCTCGTGTTTTCCCTAAAGATAAAATCCAGCATTGTGAAAAGTGTAAATGCCAAAGCAAACTCATCGGAGGTCGCGGATGGATCTGCTGTGCATTCTTAACTCGTGCGTCAGTTCGGAAATGTGGTGTGTGGTTTTTTGGTCAGCATCCAGTACACAATAGACAAGAAAACGTTCTCTCATCTTATTTTCCTACCGCTTTTATGGATTTGAAACCCTAGTTTTGACCCTTCCTCATATAAACAGGTCCTGCCAACTTGAAGAGCGAGGACTTGCTCCGAAGCAAGCTCTGGACGCTCGCCCGAGTGGTTGCCGAGTGCCAGTAAGTGTCAGCTTTGCTTTGAAGTCCTGCGCGGAGTCTAGGTTTTGGATAGCAGTGGATTTCACAGCAAGGCATTGGTTTGCCAGCTAGCAAAGTGTCCTCTTGGACTTGGTGGAGGTCAAAGCAAGGAGTATAAAGAAAAACCTAAAACTTCTCTTGTAGTAGCCTGAGTGTCCACCAAGACCCGTGGTAGAAAGGGAGTTGTGTCTGCACGCTCACCGCTGATGTCAGGCTCCAAGTCACCCGACCCCAAGTCTTGAGAGGCTCTAAAATGTGAGCTTTGTCATCTCTGAATGCCGGCCTTTGAATCCTCTGAATGTTTCGGCAGCCTCAGTCTGGTCATGGGAGACATGCTTGGAGGCCAAGGAGATCTCCCGGAGCTCTTGTTTTCTTTCTTTGCTTTTCTAGCTCTGTTGAAAATGCAGATGTTTATGGTTTGTCCCGTGGCAGCAGCGGCTTCCAAGCCTCCTGCCCGGCTCTGTGCCATCACTGTTTTACCAGTGGAAGTACTGTAGGTGACTGCAGAAGCGTTTGGTGCTGCCTTCTCTGTGCCTTTTCAAAACTACAAAAATGATATTCCAGCCGTGGCAGAGCGTTCCCCTCGTAGAGCATCACTGGCCGTCACAGGGGGGAACGTCCTTTCTGATACCAAGACAAGTAGCCGTGGCCATCCCAAATCTCTGCAGCTAGCTTGAGACTCACTGCTCATTCTGGGTGAAATCCATAGCGCTTTGGTGAATATAGCATCACCCTCCTGTCCTCTTGCCTGCACTGACCACAAATCTTTTTCTCAGCACCCTTGAAGGACAATCCTACCTGCTAGAGATCCTACAGACGATCCGGGTGTCCGTGCAGTGAGCCCAGGGCTCTCCCTTCCTCAGGCAAAGCGCCGAGCCAGGTAGTTATTCCCAAAAACAACTGGAAGAGGCTTCGCTATCGCTGGAATTGCAGCTGGCACGTTGATGGATTGAAGCAATTCGGAAAGTTCAGCTGACTCAGGTTTGCTGCCTTGCACACAAGGCCCCGCTAACTGCTTCTAAGAAATATTTTGTGGGAGAAGGAAGCTGCGAGACACGATATGCCTCGACTGCGCACCTTCGGGAAAGGTTTTAGTCGTTGCCGAAAGATGCAGAGGCCTCTGTAGAGATAAGTCTCTGGTGTGCCTCAGTAAGTCTCTGCTATGGAAATTTTATGAACTATTAGTAGCTCTTTAATGATCCTGAAAACAATCTCATTTTCACTTAGTTCTGTGACTAGTGAGCCGTGGTGAAGGAATCTTTGAGGATACTCGGCCTCGGATGCTGCATTGCAATATTTCTGTGTGGCAGGGCTGAGTCAGAAGGGTGTATTTATGGGCTCTGCACAGAAAAGGTCACGGGTAGGGGTTGCTGCACATGGGCAATGAAATATGATTTCTGCCGTCCTCTGAGTAGCAGTCCCATGCCGACTGCTCATCCTTCTGGGCCAGAAGAGTGTTTAACCTGATGCTGTGGTCACTTCTCTCTGTCCTCTGCTACAGGCAGGCGCTTTTTTTATTTATTTAATTCATTTGGGGGTTTAAATGTTAACAGTGAAAAACCAGGTTTCCAGGTTTGGGGTTTTATCAGTAGGCTTCACCATTACTCAGATGCTTCCAAAAGAAGAGAACAAAAGGCAATTAAATTAACCAGCAGCCGTTGCCAGAGGATGTGTCATTTGAAGATTGCAGTAAGGGACGCTTCCAAAAAGCCTCAGCTGGCCCCTGGCCACGGGTTTCCATCCAGGCAGGCGTGATCGGAGCGCCTGCCGTTCAACCAAATCACTGGTGGTGAATTTGGAAGCGGTTGGTTGAAATCTGCTCTGCTGAGTTCAAACTAAGCTTTCCTGCACAGTTTGATAGGGAATGTTTAAAATTTAAAACCGTGTTTTAAAGACCCAGAATGAGAATGCAGCCAATTCTGGTTTGGAAAGTCAAAAAGCTTCTTGGGCCAGCTTTTGGCCTTACTTCTCCACTCCTGCGTGATATTTCTTTTATGATAGTTCCTGGATGATGTTTCTTTTCACTGGGAAGCATGGGTGCGACTTGGAGCAGCGGGAAGAGAGCTGCCTGAACAGGTCCCACCAGCTCCATGGTATGTTTGCTGTAAATTAGAGCGGCAAAGATTTGGGAAGGGAACTTGTGCCATCGAGACCTTCCTTTCAGGTATGCTTGATGAACAAGTGTTGAGTGCGTGCTGGGCATTACGAGTTGCTTCTCCAGCACTTACCCCCTTGAATGACTTGTGAGCAGACGAAGCGGCACGTTGTTTTATTAGCTGTAGTTCTGATTTTCTTAGGACTGCATGTTGATACCCTCCTTGTGATCAGAAGCCAGCAGCATAATCCTGCAACTTTGTTTTTTTGGACTTTGCATTCATACAAAGTTGTGATAATTTCACAATGGAGAGGTCTGTGGAGATGGATTCTCTCTGCGTGACTTACGGACAGTTATTAGTGTCCTACAGATTTTTTATTCCATTTAGCAGTGCCTACTGTGTTGCACTTCTCTCATGGATGAGGAAGGCTGTGGATGGTTTCTGGCTGTCAGCCTGCTTTTAATTCCATGCTTGAACGCCCCGTTTCTCTTCCAGTTGTGCCGCGCTGATCTCAAAACACCCATCCTCCGTGCTGGTTGAGATTTCCCTGATACACTTTGACTACAAGGAGAAACCTTTGTATTAACGGCATCCCAATGAATATCGTCGGCTGGGTTCGTTAGCGTTTGGGTTCAGAGCAGCCCAAGTGAATCCCTTCCTCATCCTCTTGCTGTGCATCAGTTTCGCTTGGGGGGGGACACACGGTGCATTTCAGCGCAGTTCATTTCAGAGGAATCTGAACCACAAGCTTTGCAGGTCCAGCTCAAACGCAGTCCACCCTCTGAAGTGGACAGAGGGGTCTGAATGAACAGCTTTTGGGCCAACTTCAGACCAAGTGTGTGGTGAGGACATGCAGTCCAGGATACCAAAAATCCAGTCTGAAGTCACCCCCTCCAGTCACATGTAGTGTGGAGGTGTGGGCTGGAGCACCCAGTGCTTCCATCTACCCATCCACTCCCAGTACGCCAGAGGAGATGCTAAGACCTTGTCCCGTTGGTTGCCACCTCCACACCAGCCTGCTTTGCCCAGCTTCCAGCTGTAGATACCGTCCCCGTGCCTGAGCAGTCACCGTCCCGCTGCCCTGGGGCTGGGTGTTACGGGCCGATGG